GCTTCTTATTTGGATAAAGATATACATCTTATTCTGGACTTCCTACAGTCAAAAATGCAAATGATGAAAACACTGTAACTGTGCTAATTGTGTGGATTGTGAGGCAAAGCCAGATCACACTGCAGAACACATCTGGCCATAGGACTATCAGAAAACCTTTATGGTGGACATCTAGCTTTTTTTGCTGAGCCGCAAATCTCTAGGTATCTAACCTGCTGTTACTTGGGGTGATTTGATTTATGCTTTACACATCGTGTGAACCACAGCAGGTGAAGTTCACATTGCCCGTGTTTCAATGCAAGAGTGTTTGGGATTAGGGGGAGGTTAGAGGTTTGTTTTTAGTTCAGAGCAGATTGTTGTGCGGGCAGCAGCATCTCCCTTTCTGCAGTAGAAGGGCCTTCTCCAAACATGGCTTTCCTGTATTTTACAGTAGTCACAAGTCTCCCTCTTTTTTTCCCAGCTGAAATGTTTGTACAAGCCAAATGCTAGAATGCAGCAGGACTCCTTGGCCAGTGGTGGGAAAGTCATGATGAAGGGGGATCTTGAAATGTGAACCTTCACCTCAGCCACAGAAGAAAAAGGCTGGAGGGCATGAGCTGTACATATACATGTGTATGTATATGTAAATATTTATTTATTTATTTGTTTACATACCTCTCTGTTTCCTTGGGTCACGGAGGCACAACAGTGGGAATTAGGTGGGAGAAGAGGGTGATGTGAGTGCAGTTGCTTGCATCGTGGTTAGGAAGGCACTAGCTTTTCTTTATGTTTGCAGCATGTCCCGGCAGCATCCAGACTTGGCCTGTGGAACACAGAGCAGATTTCACAGAGCCCTCTTGGCCTAGGGCTTTCTCCATGAAGTGTCCTCCCCCTGCTCCTCTCCCTTCTCCTCTTGTGCAAAATTTGCATCAGCCTCTGTGGGACGGAAGGAGTGAGAGTGAGAGAGGGGGAGAGATAGTGTAGGGCCTGTTTGTGGTGGACAGAAGCAATTCTGTCTGAACCCAGCATTGTTTCTGCTTAACTTTACCCCACAGGAGGGTTTTTCTGACTTGAATCTGTCACCGCAAGAAATTGCTTCCAAAAGGCAGCACAATTAGGGGTCCCACTTTGCAAACATTCTTGGGGGAATTGAGAGGCAATTGGCACAACTGGGTGAATAATCCTTTTACAAGCCTTTATGAACCCAGCACAATGGCTGTTTACAGTTTTGTTGATAGGCCAGGAGTGTTAACAGGCCTTTAGAAAAATCCAGGTAATTGAAGCTTTTGTCTTTCAATGAGCCCCCATAGCTGTCAACAGTCGCCTTTCTCCGCAATTTCTCTAAGTTGGTATTTTGACAAGGGCTTTTGTGCGGCGGACACAAGGCCGCAGCGCCCCCCCCCCCCCCCCGCCGCTGCCGGCCCGAACCCGCTGCCCTCCGGGAAACCCTTGGGTCGAGCAGAAGTTTCTCCTGTTATTTCATTACTCATTTCAACTTCCTGACCGTAGAAAACACCAGCCTCAGTGTGCATTGTTGATCCAAGGCCTTTGCCTTGGTGCCCATAGCTGAGAGCCATGGAGGAGAGGAGGCTGCAGAAAGAGGGTGTAGGGAGACTTCAACCTGTCACCACAGGATTGAGCTGGTACTTAGAAAGGTCCTTGCATCCGTATCCCTGTCAAAGAGCACGGGTCATGGGGATTCTGCTTGTCACATTTTTCTCCTGAGTTTGGTTTTGCCACAGTCATTTCTGCATGCATTTGGCAGCTGCGAGTTCCTCTTTCCATGTGCGTTTGTGGGAGCGTGTTTCTTTAGCTTTAAAGAAGCAAACCTAAATGAATTTGGACACCAAATTTTCCTCACCAAAGCTGACCGCTTTTTTTCTTTAGGAGGGGGAAGATGAATTGAGTTGGTCAAAATGAGTTTGAATTTGCTTCAAGCTCTCCATCTTGCAGGAGACCATATGTTGAGCACAAGTCTGCATCGTGTAAATACTGGTGTGTTACTTTCTCCCCTATGTTCCTCATGATGTGGACCCCTCAGTAGCTCTGATTCAGTTCAGGACTTCATTCTTACAAAGATTAAGATATAGCGTTTTGCTGAATTAAAAGCCATGTCATAGTAATCGCTGTGGCTGATCCTCTAGGTACCATTTTGGTGTATATTTAAGTCTTTCAAGTCTGAATGAGGAGGGAGAGGAAAGCTATTTCATAATAAGATATTATGCAGCTCACTGCCCAAAATACAGTTTTTAAAGCACACATCTTGCAGTCGCCACTGCGGGGTGGCCTCCCTATCTGCACAGAGCCATATTTGCCTGTGGAGCTGCATCCGCCGGCCCGTAGGGCTCCCTGGCTCCTTGCGTTGGGAGATTGCAGCACTGGCGATTAAACTAAGAAGGATGTAAGCTAAAGTGAGACAAAATTCTTTGCTGTCCTTTTCATTTTAAAAACAATTAATTATGGAGTATTTTCAGATGGGGAAAACGTATCCTCAGAGAGCAGATGTTTGCTTCGTTTGTATGTCTGTTTATAAAATTTAGCGTGTGGATTTGATGGTTCACTTGTTTTTTACAACTTTCACTTATCTACATGAGGCAAAGTTGTATATTGGTACAAGGCACCTGAATAAGGCAGTTCTGCAGCTTTTAGTAATGCAAACCATCAGTAATGGATTTTTATACTCATTGTAGATGTCAATTTTGAGGCCAAATATGTTTTAAATAAGAATCTTCACTTAAAAGCCAGACAAAGACTGTTATTCTTTCTTTTTTTTTAATATTATAATACAGTAACAAATATGGAGACAACTTCTGGTACTAAAATATTTATATATATTTACATACAGAGAGAGAGACTCCAATATTATGTTCTGTTTAAATAATAGTGGTTATCAGTGTCCCACCAATTTTTTTTTTGCATCTCCTCTCAAATGCTTTTAAGCTAAATTTAATACAGCCTATGGTGGTGAAGAAGTTTTATTAAATAGCTTGTCAGCGCTCATAGGCAAAAGCATTTGAGTTTTAAAAATAATTCTAGAAATTTTGTTATCAATAGGGTTTTGAACTTAATTTGTTTGATTTTTTTCATACTGGTATCATCTTTAAGTCTCTGTATTAGTATTGATTTTGCCCAGGCACAGGTTTTTAAATAACAGAGACTTTTTATGCCATTTTTGAGGTAGTTGTAATTTGATTGTAGGGTTCCTACTTGGTAGCCTGAAAAAAAATTAATTTCTACACCTAAGAAACTATAGATCAGTGCAAACTTTCCCAGGCTCATTTTCATGTTTGTCTCAAACCTGTTGTAAGTGGGCTACTGCTTGGGCTCTATTTAAAGCAGGGAAATTTTCTACAAATTTCCACCGTTGCTGGCAGTAGCACACGTGCCACCCGAGCAAGTGACACAGCTGCTCACTGCTGCCATGTCACCTACGGAGCCACCTCGCCGTCCCTTGGAGCCTTTACACCGAGTGCAGTGTCTTTGTGCAGGATAGTGTTGCCTGCTCATAAATCATGGAGCCAGGTGCTCATGTCGCCAGGTGAAACTTCAGCGAGCTGGGCAAGAGTTTGTATCATGTCATCAAAATATTCTGCTTGTGTGTATGCGTGTACAGTGATTTAATGGGCAACTTGCGATGTAGGCTTATGATGAACAGGCTTAAAGAGGCAAATAATTTGGTCTCCATGATGCTGGTAGTTTGGGGTATGGGTGCTCGCCAGGAGCAGCCAGAGGGAACAGGAGTCGCATGAACCTGGCTCAATCTCGGCCCCGGAGATGAAAGGCCCCTCTTGAGTGGTCCCGTGTTTCTCAAGAGGGTGCAGATAGTAACAAGGGTACCGCGGTGGCTGTGGGTCCCTTCTCCCCCTCCCTGGTTTTCAGTGAGCGCGTGGCTCTGTCAGCACGCTCCGGAGCAGGGACAAGGACACAGGTGTGGGAGCAGCCCGTGCCCGGCACGGCCTGTTTCAGCCTGTCTTGGCTGTGAGGGACAAATAGTGCCCTTCCAATCCTGGTGCCAATAGAAGAGATTACCTAGTCTTTCAAAAAATCGGCAGAAAGCTAGGAATGTCACCACTGAGCTTTCTGCTTTGTAGTTTTTGGATGAAAGGATATGACAGGAAAGAGTCCTGCGTCCTCTCCAAGAGGAGAAGGAGCTGGACAATGTGCCCCACATGTCCTGCTTTTACATGCATAGCATGGAAGCACATCCCTTCTTGTGGTGGACCATTTCCACATTAGCAGCTTGTCACTGTTAGTCTACCCCTTCCCAACTCGTAGAAGTAGGGAATCCTGTGTTCCAATTACAGAAACCCACCTGGACCATGTCTATTCAATGGCCACCAAGAGATTTTTTTGTGTTCTCAGAACCTTTCTCAGCTCCAGTCAATGAGATTTGTATGTCCTAAAACATTCAGTGCTCAAGTTATCTTTCTGTCACTTGTGCGGGGAAAATAGAGCATTTCATTTTCAGGGGCTGTGAGAGATTTCGCTCTAAAACTCTTTAAGTAAACACTTCCTCCTGGGATCGTGATCTCATTCAAACTAAAAAATGTACCAGAATTTATGATGTATTTTAATTACTATTCTTGATACCACTCATTAAATTAGAAATTGATTGCCAGTTTCACAGTTTCCTTGTTAGATGACAAAGTGCTTATCAAGGTGAAGCAATGCAAAACTGTTTCTATATATTCCACAATTTGGGATGATAAAAAGCCATGCTTTTTGTTGTGGTATTCATGTTGCAGTTGTTGTTATAAAGCATAGCTGATTGTCTTTTTTGTTTAAAGTTCATTTTCCCTCATTCAAGTAAGAGTATGACATATTTTCGTATAAAAAGAGGTAAATTGTCTTTGGTTTATGCTAGCAATTTAAATGGCATTAATGCAAACATCAAAAGTGTATGTTTGATTGAACTGAGAACATAATAAACAGCTATCCTAAGGATTTAAGCGGATGATGCAAAAGATCCATATACATAAAGGTGTTTTACAAAACCTTCTTTTTCTCTCTCTAATCCACAGTGTGACAGCGAGAGCGATATTGACGATAAGGTAAGACTGATTTTTTTTCTTTCATGTGCTTTACCAGCTTGGAAATCCCCTCATAGACAAAATAAGAGTGAATCTAAATATAATATTTTTCCTCCAGCCTTGAAGTCAAATTAGAAGTATCTATAATTGAATGGAAGAATGTTGCATCAGGTGGTCTCTGTTCATGTCTCACTAGCCCATGTTGATAGGAGAGGAACCCCTGTGAACATGATAGTCTTCTCGGTTAGTAAGTGAGCGTTTGGTAGGACCCAAGTTGTAGCGTTAGAGCTGTCACTCTGTTTAGTCTCCTCTGATAACTTCCAAGAGCCCATATTTTATTTAAAGTAACCTTTGAAGGTGCCACTTTTGTAATCAGTTTAGAACATGGGACAGCCAGTGCCTGCCCTCAAAGGCAGTATGGTAACTGTCAAGGAATGTTTTGTCATGTTAGATGCATATTTATCACAGAGCAATGATTTTTCTGACCTTTTCTTTTGATTCAGAGGTTGGCCATTGAAAGGTTGTAGTCGTGTGTTTTTGTCCAGGGAATTCTTGTTTCACCTTTGCAAGGAAAACAGAGAAGTCCCGCTACATAGCAGCAGTTGCACCATGCTTTTAAGCATCAAATCTCTAACAGACTTGGACATCTCTCGTTGGCTTCTGTTCTCGCAGATCAAACTTGGCAGTCTCAGGTTAGATCTTCATCAAACTTTTATTATATTTGGGCTGTCCAGTCTCTTGCATTCATTCATGAGAAGTTCTAGCATGCAGGTTTCTACTGGATCAGCATTACAAAAGTGAAGGCTGAATTCAGAAAGCCCTGTCTGCCTGGCAGCACACCTGAGTGTAGCTCTATATTGGAGTTTGCCCTGAGTTCAAGAGAGCGCAGTGAAAACGTCTGCTTAAGTCTTTCCTTTTTTAAATGTTGTTAGACCTTGGGCAGCATTAAGGAGTTCTTCGTTTACTTTTAAAAAACCCCTTCAGCTACCTAATATCCCTGGAATATGGCAAAGCTGTGTTTGGACTGAGAGCTTGATTGAAGAGAAACCTGTAAGTCTTAGCTATTGAATGAAAGATACTCTGCGTATTTGATTTTAGATATATGTATGCATGTATGTATGTGTAGTCAGTCTCCTCCGTCACCATCAGCCCCAAGTTCATGTTCCTTCCTTACAAGGTTGCAAGGCAGCAGAGCTGGTAGCAAGGGGAATGAGGTGAAAAACTGTTCCCTAAAAGCTTCGATACATGGAGTTAAAGCATTTCTTAGACCGCCCAATCAAAGAAAGTAAAAGCAATCACTTAGAAAACTGTTTAAAGATCTGCCAGTCAAACCTCAGATGAAGTTGTAAGTGACATGTAGTTTTATTATACAGCTATGCTATTAATGATTATCTAAATTACACTGGTAGACCCTGCTAGCAGCATTACATCTGAGACTGACGTTTGTTAGATTAGGTTTGACTTCACCTTGTAGAGAAGAAATTGAAATCTGAACAACATTGATTAGCTTTCAGAATGTGGGATCTGAGGTTACCTTCAGAGGAAGCTGCATTGTGTTTGGCTGGTAACTTACTGTCCTTTACAGCAAATGAAAGACTATTACATTGTTCCTTACCATTAGGATGGCATTTCTTTACGTATCTGTAACAGTAAGTTGTCCTTCTAGGCCCACATATTTTCCAGCTACCTTCTCCTTAAGGCAACTCCCCTTCAATAGTAACACTTCTTTTCTTCATAAGGAGAGCAGCACAAGGCCGGCATCTTTCTGTCTCTTGCCTGATCTGTAGAGGCATGAGACAAGACATCAGTCCCACTAACCAGGTCTCTGGAATTAAGTAGGGTTGCTTTTGTGTCAGCAGAGACTCATGCGCGTGCATGTCAACTCGTTGAGGTTGAAGCAGAGACACTTCAAACCTTTCATGGGGATAATGTAAATGAGACTTTGTCTTCAAGCTGTGTCTTCAAGCATAAGGGAAACCTGCCTCTCTGTTAATACCTGGCCCGTTAATCTCCTGGAAACTCATTCAGTATTGGCCTTAATCTAGCCTGGCTGATACAGCAAGGAGCTATAAAAATATTGGCATGAATGCCCTGAGGGAACACACTGACGAGTTTGTTTTCCTTCTTCCATGCATCGGCAAAATGTGTCTTCCAATAATGCTCACTGCCTTGTGCAGCCAGGTGGAGTATTGAACATACTGGCTGGCCCAGCATCCAGCTTCCCCCCAACACGGTGGCTCAGCTGCTTTCCCCGTGCAGCAGAGCAGTCCTGTCCCGCTGCTCGGTCAGCAAGAAGCAGCTTTCTCTAGGTTACACTTACACGTGTTGGCACTAAGGAAGGGCAGGGCAGGAATTAAGAAGGTACTTTAGATTTGCATAACATTTTTCATTAGTCGTAAAATAACACATCACCGGTGTCTGTATATATCCTGTGAGAAAAACAGATAGAAAAAGTTGTTCACGTACAAGTACAAACTGAGTCAGTGACAGGGCTAGAAGCAAAACTGAAATTTTTCACCTCCTACTTCTCTCTCTGCTGTGCAGCTGATTAGCCACTGTTTGTTTAGCTTGTAGGTATGTGGATTATTGAACTAGTATTTTAAAAACATGGATGTTAAAGCAAAATTAAAGCTTTGCCCTCACCACATTGAAAATATAAACAAATTCTTTATGTTTTTTTTCCTTTGTACAATGTTGGGCGAGACTCCAGGGGAGAAAAGTAATTGAGCATAGTCAGTCATACATAAGGTGTATCGGAACTGAGGAGTCATTCCTGTTGTGCAGGGTGCAGTTTCACAGCAGATCATGAGAGCATTTTCAAAGAGCGCTGCTATTTTGAATAATCAGAGAACAGGAGTTCAGGACAGGGGACTTGTCCATCCCTTCTACTTCCTGAGAACTGTCTCTGGCCAAGTATATTCTTTCATTTCTGCATCACTGCTGAAATCTCAAAGGAAGTAAGTGGGAAGATACTTTCTCACACCTATCATTCTGTCACCACACTCTCTTTGAAGAACTGTTCAAAATACCCAAACTAATAAACTGAGCTGTCCAGCCCCTTAACCAAGTGAAAAACTTAGCAAATCATGTGTTCCCAGAGATGGAAATGCAAATCCCACTTCTTCTACAGTGTGTTGCTTGAAGGACATTATCAGTTTGGACATTGCAACTGTTAGAAGAATTGCCTGGTAGTTTGTTGACACTGTGGAAATGATGCTGTGCTTTTTGTGAGGGAAGGGGGAGAGAAAGGGAGTTAGCCTTGTAATCGTGTGGCACTGTCTCCACACTCTGCAATAGCTGCCATGCGAGGCACACGGTCCATAAACATTGTTACTGAAAATATATACTTCCTTTAATAGCAACAACAGCATTAACAGATAGCAATTACCCTTCATTTTCAGGAACTATAAAGTCTCCATTAATTCAAGATTTATGTAGTTATAGCATTTAGCACAGGAATAACACCACAGAGAATTGGTTTATACACATGTAATGAGAGAGCTTATGGCATACTTTAGTGAACATTAACATAATAGAGTAATATAAACCATCAACAGTTCCACTTATTGTCTCTTACCTGCTTTAGCATCACTATGAAAAGTGGCTAGCAGCTTGGTAATGTGCTCTGTTAAATGGCGTTCTGCAGAAAGCCAAAAGTCAACTTGTGTAAAACAAGGGAATGAGTAATCTCTGCTCATTACTCCAAAATGTTGCTCTCATTTTTTTAATAACAGTATTCAAGACTGCATTTAAAAAAAAAAGCCTATTTCTTTCTTTCAAAGTAATTCAATGTTCATGTTCTTTCAGTCTTGGACTTCTGTCTGCTGTGTGCAAAATTGTGGGTTGTCAGCTTAATTGCACAGCCCTGGCATGGAAGCGAGTTCTCCAAATCAGGGGTTAGATATCAGGCATTCCTTCATTTAATGTGGTGCTAAGTAAGATACATAAAGAATGACATTGTGTTTCTAAGCTGGGTCAGTATTTCCTGTACATTTCTTGGGCAGGTCATGTTTGTGATTTAGCAGCAACAAGCAATCTTTAGGACTAGCAAAACCATGTGCAAGGTGGACACAAGGTGATCAAGCCTGGTCAGTGAGAGACCATTGATACTGAGTTTTAATGGTGGATAGAAGTAAGCTGTGAAGGACTCAGAATGTGAAGACTGATAGTTTACAGTATGAGAAGTGGGAAAGTATGAAGGGAACAAAGCTCCAGTCTAGGAAAATAATCTTTACTGCAGCTGTCTGCATGGGTGCAAGGCCATAATTACATCTGCAGAAACCAGAGGTAAGGATGCAATCTGGGGTGGTGAGCACTTAGACAAGAATTTTAGCTTTAGGAATGAGCAGGCGACATTCACTATGGTATATAGAAAAAGAATATACATAATTTAAGCATAGGTTGGATATTAAGATCTAGATGGTGGTTTGAGTCAGAGAGTGAAGGGGACTACAGGTTTGAGTGAGGAGTGGAAGCAGTGAGAAAAATAAGCTATGTAGAACATCTGGAGAGTTTCATTCAAAGTCCTGTTTTAGCTGTGTGGACCTTGAAGAGGTGACTACAAGCCCACAAGATAAAAAAAGCATAGTTTAGGCAGGAGGGAGAAAGTGATGTGATCATGAAGAGAGATCTAAGAGCAGAAGTGGTTACTGTCTCTACATGTGTGGGGGGTTTCTGTATGAGATCAACCAGAAATAAGATAAAGCCCCGTGTTACCAGATGAAAAACTTAGGGGAAGACAGTCTGAAGACTGCTCAGAATGACAGAAGCGCTCACAGAGGCAGGGAGGGAAGAGCCACCTCGGAGGTAGCTGGCACTCAAGCAAGGCGAGATCCGGCAGAATGAGCTGGTGGGTGAGTAAAGGCAGACGGCATGCCAGCCCTTCCCAAAGAGCCTCCAGCAGCCCAAATCTGGGGTGTTTCATTGCAGCTTGATGCTCTCCTGCTCTCTGCAGCTTCCTTCATCCATGCACCAGGGCAGCCTCAGGACATCATCCCTTAGGGCTGGAATAAACCATGATC